CTTCCTACAGACTGATTCTTTCATTAATTTCTGTTACAGTGAATTGCCACAGCAAATATTTGTCCAATATATCATGATTATATTTGACACTGGTGTGGTATGTGTCTTCCCTGTTAACGGAAATGCAGTCTAACTTCTAAGTTGTAAACAGTAATATATCACTGCCTGCTGATACTTTATGTAAGACTATTAAGAGTGTGCTTTTCCTCTCAGATTTCCCCATTGTCCTTCACAGTAACACTGCACGTAATGGACTACCGAAGGAAAGCACTCTTTATATTTTTTTATATATACTGAACAGTGACAAATGGCCCATGAGACTTCTGCAACAGGTCTTGAGCGCCATTCATTAAAAAACATAAGCTATCACATGAGGTATCAATACAGTCACATACTGTTGACCTGCAGATGTTACATTTTCCATACACCATGCATATTAGTCACACATTTGTACATTTTATATGTATAACTTTTTCACTATGAATTGTTCTTCTCTAGACACCTCTTTGATTTGCTATAAACTATAATGCTGTTTCCCTAAAGTATAAGTATAGTTGTGTTGTATTCTTAGCCATGCTTGTGGCGTGGCTCTAGGGACGTCAGTGTTGGTCAGTTGGTTGGTCTGTCTCTACTTTGTTCTACCTGTCTTTTCCTCTACGCAGGTCAAAAGTTTCACTTATTTTGTGAATTTTCTCAACATCAAGTTTTCATTCAGACAATGTTTCCTAGTGTTAGCATACTAACACAATAAAACAGCAAAAAAAAAAGCAGTGAGCTTGTTGCCATGGTGATGTTAGCATTTAGCTCAATGCACCATTGTGCCTAAAGGTGATTATACTACATGGGGTGTCTGCATAGGCAAACTTGTTCACGCATATGTCCGTGCATACAGTGTGTGTGCAGTCAGAGTGGTCATAGCTTCAGGACAGCCTGATAGAGCTGCTAGTGTGTCTATAGATTCTTCATCTTGACAACAGTTTCATTTTTACCCCATATGTATCATAGTCAGTAGCCACAACCAACAGTTAATGAGTCACACCTGCCTCACCAGGGAGGAACAAAAGTCTGATTGGAGCTGAGTGCGGTGAAGAAGATCACAGAACAGAGGGAAAGCTTAATTTGAATATATATTTGCACTTCACACAGCTCTTTTAAAGCACACTGCTTGGTGTGACAGTTAGCTGTGAGATGTGGCTGTACTCCCACCACCACAGTGGTTAGAGTGGCTCTTGAGCATCAGGAAAAAGGCCTTCAGCTGCATCTGAGGCCAGTGATGTCTCTGTCAGAGATGATGACATGCTGGGGCTTGACATGCCACACCCTCCCGGCTACTTCCTGTAGAAGAGCCAGCACGAGTAGCCGAGACCTCACAGGCACTGTGAGATAAAGGAGAGATGGAGATCAAGAAATCCCCAGGAAAGAGAGGCAGTGTGACAGAGAGTGAACGGAGATATTTTGTACCTCGCTGGATGTTTGTTTGCCATTTAAAACGCTACTTTATAATATCGCTATCATTCATTATGAAAAAGAAAACAGAATAAACAAGAATCCCTCTCAAGTTCCCTACATGGGTTTGCATAATCAAAGTACTAAAGTTTGGAACAGGAGAATCCACTCAAAACCTTGGCCTGATAACATTTCTGGCCGTGTACTAAAAACCTGAGCCAATCAGCTAGTTTTCAGCTAGTGTTGTTACTGACATTTACAACATCTCACTATCTCAGGAAAGCCACCACCGTTCCTGTACCTAAAAAGTCTGCAGTGTCTAGTTTTAACGACTCCCGCGATGTGACACTCATCCCCATTCTGATGAAGTGCTTTGAGAAACTGGTTCTTCAGCACAAAGAACAACATCCCAGCCAGCCTGGACCCTCACCAGTTTGCTTTCAGAACCAACAGATCCACAGAGGATGCCATCTCCACTGTCCACCATTCAGTTTTCACACACCTTGAGAAAAACAACACCTACATCAGAATGCTGTTTGTGGATTTCAGCTCAGCATTCAACACAATTTCCCCATGAAACTGATTAGCAAACTCAGCACTCTGGGTTTAAATACAACACTCTGCAACTGGATACTGGACCTCCTCACAAACAGGCCCCAGTCAGTTCAGATTGGCGGATTCAGCTCCTCCACACTATTGTTCAACACCGGAGCCCCCCAGGGCTGTGGGCTCAGCCCCCTCCTGTTCACGCTGGACACCCACGACTGCATCCCCCGACATGAAGAGAACTCTGTTGTGAATTTTGCGGATGACACCACCATCATCGGCCGGATTTCAAACAACGATGAGACTTCATAGTTGAAATTCATAATCTGGCAGAGTGGTGCTCAGTGAACAACCTACTGCTCAACGTCAGCAAAACCAAGAAGCTGATGGTTGAGTTTAGAAAGAAGGAGACAAAGACACACACACTCCTGTCTACGTCAGTGGAGCTGAGGTGGAGCGGGTGAACAGTTTCACGTTCCTGGGAATCAGCATCACAGAGAACCTGACATGGTCATCTCACATCCCCACGCTGGTGAAGAAAGCTCAGAAACGAGTGTATTTCTTGAGGAAGAAGGATAAATTCCCGTGCGAAGTCCTTGTCAGCTTTTAGAGAGGGGCAACTGAAATCATCCTGACTGGAAACAACACAAACTGGCATGGGATGTGCACGGCCCAAAACTGCTCAAAACATCAGTGGTACCCATCTCCCGAGCATCAGTGATATCGGTGAGGTGAGGCGCCTGCGCAGATACCAAAGAATACTAAAAGACAGTACCCACCCAGTCACAGCCTGTTCACCCAATGCTGCCTTCTGGGAAGAGATGTAGAAGTTTCTGCTGCACCACCAGACTGCAGTGCAGCTTTTCTCCCCAAGCTATCAGACTCTTAAACTCTACTTCATCCTCAGCACTGCTCCAGTTATGATTTTCTATTTACCATTTTTCACAACTGATTCTTTATTAATGTACTGTATATTGTCTGCTATGTAGCGGAAGGGAGTTACAAAACTCAATTTCACTCTATAACTTGTTATTTTGTGACAATAAACCACCTACCTACCTATCCTCATCCTGGCCTTCACCATGTTTCATGTTTCTTTTTGGTTGATTTACTCATCTTTAAAATAAGCCTGCAAAAATATGTATAACTACTGACAGAAACAGTATTTATTTGTTTATGTGTCACAGATATCACTCCAACAATTTAGCTGAAATCTGGGATAATGATGCATCTCACCCCTGCACTCAGGCATCCTCAAAATGATGCCATCACATCTTTTCTGTTGTCTTTTGTGTACAGAGTCTGCCGTCCAACCGGAGACCTACAAAGCATCACAAACTGGACAACTCCTGGATCACATCTGTGCAAGCATGTAGAACTAACGTTTACTAATGGTGCAATAAATACTACAATAGATCCATTATAGTTACATTTCCCAAAAGGCCATCCATCCAGCAACAGATAGTTTCTGTTTGAACAAAATGATGTGCCTGTAACCTAGGTGTTCTTTTTTAAACTCAGGTGGCTAAAGTGGTGTGGTCTTGCTTTATCCAACTGAGACATTTAACCAAGATTAGGACATTCCTTTCCTGCAGATCTTGAAAAGGTCACTTTATTTAATCACCTTTTATCTTTACCAGACTTGACTATTGCAGTGCACTTCATTTTGGTATCAGCAGGAAAAACATCCAAAGACGGCAACTAATACAAAACGCTGCTGCCAAGTTTGTACAGTAACTTGACTAGGAGAAAGCGACCACATCACACCAATCCTTGCTGTCGGCCACTGATTCCTGTGAGCTTTAGAAGTCATTTACATGGTCAGACACCTGCCTATAGATCTTTTGAGTCCCTACGAGCCTGACCACTGTTTGAGATCCTCTGGTAGTTCCAAAATTTGGACTGGTCACTAAAGGTGACTGGACCTTTGCTGGAGGGCCCTTAAGCTGTGGAACTCCTGGCCTGGGGATCTCAGGGAATCAAACTCCACTGTTAAATCTCATCTACCTGATGGGATTTGTTGTAATTATTTAAATCATTAAATTCATTATTTCTTTTTTACTTTTATTATATGTTGTTATTGTAAAATACTTTGTAACTTCTTTTGAAATGTGCTAAAGAAATTAAGTAATAACAATATTAATAACAACAACAATAACAATAAATTATTATTTTTATTATTATTATGGCTTGGTTATTATCTCCAAGCCACTGAGAGGAAATTTTATGATGTGCTACAATATCAGTGATGTAAAAACCCACAGATTTCTTAAAAATTGCCATTAGTGGACAGGGCTTTAGTGAAGTATGTTAGACAAAGCATTAAAAGTAATTTCAATATATTTTCAGTTGTTGAGAAGAGCAAATAACTGAGATCGCAAGACATGTTGTAGCGTCTGGACGTTTATCATCATTGGGTCAGTTTTGAATGATTTACTTAACCTGTGTATAATCTTGAACTATAGACTGTATCTGAAAGGTTCATATTCAAGGAAGACATCATTCGCATTATAAGCTTCTATTTTAAGAGGTATGATTGACTTCTGTGGGAAGAACTGTGAAGGTGACACAAAATATAGAAGCTGAGAACATTTGGAAATTAAAAAGAATGGCGATTCATGGCCTCAGATAACTTCAATTACATGTAGGCTATTTGTCATTTTGCCGGAGGCTGTTGGAGCCTCCTCCTGGAGGAGCAGTGGGGGGTCCTTAGACTTGGAGGTGGAGGAGAATTGGCTCTGAAACATGACATGATGCTCTATGAGCAAGGCAGACTGAGTCAGTTGAATTTAAACTGTCCTTGACTGAATCGTGTATCAATGAAGATGAATCACGCTGAACGCAGGCAAGTTATTTGTCACAAGTATCGGGAATTGTTTTAGTCCGTGTTCGATCTCAGCTGTCTTCATGGCGAGCCTTCTCTAATGTCACACTACAGCAACCTGACCATCACTATGTCATAAAGTGAACATTTTTGCAAACATAACCCCTCATATTTCAACACGTACTTGAATGCATAGACGGCAGGGTTCTCCAGATCACCGGCTGGAGGATTCCTCTCGTTTAGTTGCGCAGAATGGTACCGCAGCTCCGCCACGGCTTCACACTCCAACCCACCATGAAGCGTTTCCTCTTGTGCTGCATTCAGGTCCTCCGTGAAAACGGGAAGATGGCGAATCCTTTTACGACGCTGAAGTTATAAACCTGCAGTTTGTCCACAGATTCCTCAGACTCACACACTCTGGTTCATGCATAAATAAACCCACGTTACCTACTGGCAAGCATTGGTTAAAAAAAAACGTTTTCATTAGGATTTGGAATATTAGGCTATATGCTACATGGTAACCACCTGTTGGATTTTGGAGATCTGTGGTTGGGACTGTGATATAGACTAATGTGGGCATTGATGGTCTCTTCTCCTTGTAATAGGAAGGTTAAGTCTTACTCAGTAATTTCTACAACATTAGATACTAGATAGGCCAACTATAACTTTTAAAAGTTACAATGTACCACATTCAGTTTTATATGTAGGCCTATTAATGTCGGACAGCTTGCTATAGGCTAATTCTTTTTGCCTCTAACTCCGCTATAAAACAGTTAGATAGTGTTTTTTTGATATTATTGTAAGTTTAAGTGCGTCATGTGTAAGAAAAGCCAATAATGAGAATGCAGGCTCTCTGTCTAGCCGCCGTGAGCACACTGAGGTGTTAACACATCCTGTGAACGCAACACCGCAGCTGGGAAACAGACAGCGCAGGTGGCCAATCAGCGGCCGGATTTCCCCCACGCCCATCAGTGAAACGAGTGCGGAGGCGGGACCGCGGTTCTCTAAAAGCTCGCGCTTGGGTTCACTGCGTCGTCTGCTCTCGTCCCATTGGCGCAGGTGATCCGTCTCAGGATGCGAGAGGAGAGCGGAGGAGAGGGGAAGAGAGAGGGGAAAGCGCCGATGGAAAAGTGTCCAGGGCTCGGTTAACAAGAAAACAGGATACCGGCCCGCTTCAGTTTGTCCTGGGCCACTCGGCGATGAGAGCCACACCGAAAGGGGCACTTTGAGATATGATGATTTATTTCTGGTTGGCAATAGTACTATGATTTGGTATGTGGCCACTTTGATAGCAAGTGTATTCAGCACCCGAGGAACGGCCGCTCAAGGTGAGTCGAAGTGCAGTATCTGTGCCCACCAGCGCCTAGTGCTGAAGTTTGAACTGAGCTTTTTTCTCTTTTCAAAGCGTTTTCCTGCATGTCTGTTTGCTAACTTTGAGTACGTGGCTCGTGTGTTCAAAATGTCACACTTTACGTCATGAAGTTCATACCTACGTGTGTGTTCATCACCGCACCTGAGCGGAGCCGGGCCGGCAAATGATGAGGGAAACACAGCGGCTCACCGTGAAACGAAATGGAACAGAGTCACGGGAACAGGAGCAGAAACTCCTTTGGTTAAACCCGTTTTTAAAGAGAACAACCTGCTTATTCCCACTGTAACATGCTGTATGATTGGGATGCGTAGGCCTGGCTTTCACTGATAAATGGCGTTATCGGAGTTGTGACGTTTCTGGCTTCGGAGTGATAGATTTTGCAGCCTATTTGGGTTGACACATTCCTCCCAGGATGTGTAAGTTTGCTCTCCTGCAGCAGCTCCAGGGCATTCTGCGGGTAGTCAAGAGGACTGCAGCAGCCGGTCATACCGAGCTGCACACCAGCAGCCAGCCTTTGGTGAAATGTAAAGGCAAATGTGATTAGGATGGTGCGCTGGTGTAGATGCCATTAAAATGCTGAGTGGATTTAACCTCTTCCTGCTGAAGCTGGGCCTTACCAGCTTTGTCCGTTAGAGGGAGCTCTCCCTGAGCCAGCAGCGCATTAAGGGCAATTTGAGCAGTTCCCAGCACACTGAGGGTGCTTTTCAGTCTGTCATCGCATGTATGATGGCTTCACGTGAGCTTAAAACTATTTTCTATGTATTGGCTTTTCTTGTGTGGAAAGGAGCAGAGCTTCGGATCCTTCCACCAAGCCCTCTGCAGCTGACCTCTAACCTGCCTGTAGAGGGATCAAAGAGCAAAGAGACTGTCCCTGTGAGGGTTTAGTGCTGTCATTACAAAGCAGGGATGTCTAAAAGTCACACTGATTGGTGTCATTCAGAGCCCCAGTACAGCAGGGCCCACCGAGAATCAGTCTCACGTTCCTATTATAAGTAGGGCTGGAATAAATTTATCATCAATGAATCTGCTGATTATTCCCTATAGTTTGGACTGAAATATCAGCAAATAGTGAAAAATTACAAATTTTCCAAGCTCAGACTGAAATATTCATCATTTTGTCCGACCAACAGTCCAAAACCCAAAGGTTCAGATTATTATCATGGAACATTAAAACAAACCAGAAATTATTCACTTTTGAGAAGCTGAAACTAGTGTCTATTTTCAGGGGATTTGTGCTTCAGTAAATGACTTAACAAAACATAAAAATGAGATCTATTAATCAAAAATGTTCCAGCTCTAATTATAAATGACATAACCCTGTAGTCAGCGGACCATCATGGGTCCGACAGGGTGTATGTTTGTATTGTGTGCAAGCTTGTCTCACATCGATGACGAAAGGGACACGTGTGGTGAGCAGGTAAAGCTGCGGCAACATTGCACTTTACCCTTAAAAAAATGGAATCTCTGCTACTTTTGCCTCCCTCCTTCTTCCCCTCGTTATGTTCACCTTGAAGAAAGCGAGGAGAGATGAAGAAAACTAGCTCACGCGTGCTTCAGCATCAGGTGATGAAAGGAGCGCTTGATGACAAACAACCTTCCCATCACTGTGTTTAACTTCTGATACTGAATCTTGCAGGTTTATATATATATATATTTCTGTTGTCCTCTTTCTGGCAGGCCTGTCTGGCTACATGGCAAACAGTTATGTAATGTCCTGCCTAAAGAGGATACACTTAAGCATCATCCGCCAAAAGAAGGAGATTTAGGGAGATGTTTTAAGCGGCTTCTCTTGTCTCTTCCACGGTTGGGACTGCAGGCAACTTGGCAGAAATGAGCACTAACTTCTGGATGGCGGAGGATGACTGCCTGTGACTGGTCTTGTTTGTGTTTTGTCAAGACTGTCCCTTCAGTCAGTGTAACTGGTAATGCATATGGTCTTTGTCCCGTGCTTTAACACATCAACGGAGCTCTCAGCGCTCTGCAGCATCCGTGCTGTGCTCGCAGACACACCAACACACACAAACACACCAGCCGACAGAAGCTGCGCAGGGCAGCATCCTTCTGGCCTAGCGCTGCTGTCTCCAGCTGGCAGCTGGCAAATGCCTCGACTTTTGCCAATGATAACCCTGGACCTGAGCCAGACTGCCCCCCCCCTTTCCGGTTTCCTCTCTTCCTCACCTTGCCTCAGCCCTTTTTCCCTCCCTCCCTCTGCTCACTTTCCCCGTCTGACTCAGGTCCTCGTCTCCCTCCCTTTCACTTCTCGTCTCCCTTCTCTGGCGCTCCGTCCTGTCGTCTTCCTCTCCCGTGCACTCGGATGAACTCGCTTCCCTCCAGGTTTCAAGTGGCGTCTCTCAGCATGGCTGGGTAGCCGTGGGATGGGAACATGGTGGGTTGTGTTAATGGAGGCTCGGGGCCCGCTCCACAGCGACCGTCTGCTGCCATACGCAGACACGCCCACTTGTTACCCCTACCCACGCACACACACAACATACACACGCGTCCCCTCAGGGAACTGTGTCTTTAACCAGCATCTGAACATATGCCCACTAACAGGATGCCTGCCCTACACTAAGTTGGACTAATTATGACTAAGCTGTGAGATAAATGCCACTTGGTTGCTCGATAAATACATATGCCACAACATGCCAAGAGGGCTGGGGGCTGATGGGGATGGAGGAGGGGGTAAGGGTGGGTGTATGTGTGAAAGGGGTATAGTGGAAGGAGCAATGGAAAAAACATTGAAGAGCATTTTGTTTTCAAACTTTAAATATTGAAACTTTTTAACCATCTCTACACTAAGGGTGCTTTTACACACAGATATATCATTAATGAATATAACAGTTATTTGCAGTCCTGAAATTTAGCCCTCAGTCCTGCACACAATCTTCTAACAATCACATCCTTTTCCTTTTCCATGAATAGAGCCGCTTCACATATTGACATTCCACGTCTCCCTGTTTTCATCCATGTGGTGAAGTTTTCATTTGTATAGATCCTCTGAGCTGATTGCATTGCGTTTGCACTTCTGTCCACCTCTGCAGGTGAACGAGTGGCTCTTGAATGCTTCTTGGCAGCATTTACACTTGGATGTGTTTTTGCTTTGAATGTGGTCCTTCACGGCGCATATTATTAAGGCTCTGTGTTTGTTTAGTGGAATGAGATTCATCTGGAGCTCTGAAGCTCCCAGAAAACTTTTGAACTTGTGTTTATGATTCACTGATGCTGTCTCCCAAGTCAGAGCATGTGTATTTTGGGTAAACTGTGTGTGTAAATGGAGCTGGCAAGGAGCGCTGGTGCCTAATTAATTTTATTCCCAGAAACTTTCCTGGTATCCCTGTTTTTTGATGATCCCTACAGTATGATCACTTAATGAGTGATCTCCCAGTAAGTGGGTGGCTGCTTGGCAAAAACAAAGCTGCTGACCAAGAAAAGGGAGACTCGTGTCTCATGTACAGCAGGGATTTAAATCCTGTGGGTGTTGAGTGTTTTCTCATTGAAGGAGCTTTCTGTGCGGCTTGAGTTTTCATTTGGAATGCTCCTTGCACCTTTTATTTATCTGATGCCAATCAGTGCTGTTAATGATTAAATGACTCAACATAATTCAATAAATAAATTTCCTCTGGACTTTGCCAGTGGAATGGGACTGCATCTTATCTGCATAACTCCCATCAGTCTATTTTTTAAATTCTATTTAGGGCTTCAAAAGGCTAATTTCCTTTCTGTAGTGTACTTGTCCTTGTTCTGTAAAGTTCAGTCACAGATGTGTGTGAAAGTGTGTATGTGTGGGTGTTAGGGCTGCCCCCGGCTAAGGATTTATATAATCGATAGGGATGCACCGAAATGAGTGTTCTTCACCAAAGCCGAAACCGAAAATAATGAAAATGTTTGCCGAATACCAAACAATTACATTCACATTTTTTCCATTTATTTTGACTTTTATTTTATACCATTGCATAAATTAAATAGTCAAAATGTGATTTTTCCCACAGGATTTGGAGAGACTATGGTGGGTGGGTCTGAGGCCCAAGAGGGTTTGGTAAAGTAAATTACATGTGTCCATTTACTTTTAATGGACACATTTAACATATTTTATACTTTCTGTGAATATAATCCAATTAAACTTACGCTATTTCAGTACTGTATAGACACCTTATTTTGAAAATCTTATTTTCGCTACCTTCGTCCTCCGCTGTCTACAAAGGCAACACTAACTGTTGGGCCTCATAAAATGAATATTAAAGTTTCCTGTGTCCCCTGGCAGCTCTGCCACTACTCTCTGAGATTTACGAAGGTTGCTGATAAACAGAAAGTGTTACTTGTTGCTAAAGTAACCGCTAACTGCGGCTAACTAGCTGCTGTTATATAATTAGCTCAGTTAGCCTAGTGGTTATGTGAATCAGCCCGGACTGAGAGCTCGAAGCACCAGTGGAGTGTTTTGTGTTTAACGTTATACCTCTACTCAAGCGTTGGAGGTTTTCAGGCCAGGGTAACGTCAGAGAGCGGCGCCAAAAAAATTGTATTAAAATCTTTAAAATGTTACAAGAACAAAATGAATCATTTCTTTGTTGTTTAAATGAATCATTAGGCTATATTGTATATCATTGATAAAGTAGTGTTATTTTACTCTTTTAAAACCAATAATTTGGAAAATAGTCTTAAAAAAACAACAGGAAAATGAATCGTGATAAGATCGTGAATCGTGATCCTGCCTGAACTAAATCGTGATATGATATTTTTGCCATAGCGCCCACCCCTACTTCACAGCCTCTCTTCAGGTAGGACTCTCACACAGCAACACTTGTCTTTGTAAAGAGAGAACCTGACAGGATAAAGTCACTAACCTGCCTGTCAGCTCACACTGGTCCGTTTCAGTGGATTTACCATAAAGGCTTGAACGGGGGTCGTGGATTTATTCACGCTCTTAAAAAAGTTTCTTTCTTTTCACATTTTTATTTA